GTACAATTCTTCCTCCGTGCAGTATTGCTGCTAAAACACATTTCCCATGTGAGCATTTCCTGCAGGTGCACCAGAAAAGGTCTGAGATGTTTGGCAGTTGCCAGGACCTAATTCCAGTGACCCTTGGAGAAGAGGATTCCGGAAGTGGCAACTTGTGCCCTACATGTGCTAGGAAGCCCACTGTCATATTCGGTGTCTGAGACAGCCCTGGACACTGAGATTCCTCCAGGGAGGACTCGTCTACAGAGGATTCCCAATCTTCAATGGCTTTCTCCTCTTCCTCATCTTGAGGATGTTCCTTCAGTGCTACATTCTCCTGCCAGGGGAGGAGGGTAAGGAGTGCGCCCACACTTGTGGTGTTCCAAGCCAACTTCGCAAAATTCCTCTCTTCACACAAAGGAAGCAGAGGATTGTGAAAATACCAGGTAAGGGCAGGGATTAGACAAAATCTGAACGTTAGGGGAGCCATGGTAGGGTGAATTGTGTAGAGGGTCCTCCCCACCTGATAAAGGAGTTTGGGAGTGCTCCCCATCATCCTTCCCCCCAACTCTGGCCATAGCTTGGTGAGGGTTTGTAGGCCTTTTATACTCTAAAAGAAGTAGACACCCAGTTGAAAGGAGTTCATGCACAAGCTGAAACACAAACCAAAAAAATGGCAGTGACCCCCTCAATGAGCAGATGTCCCCAGCAACCTGCTGTGCCCTGGTGCTTAAGCTGCTGTGCCTTGCAGGGGCTGTGGGAGTAGCCAAAACGCTGGCTGTACTGAGCTGTAGGAGCCTGCAAAGCACTTGCTGCTGTGCCAAGGGGACCAACAAAATGGTACCTGCACATGCAGAGACATGCATGATGGTCCCCCCTTTTTGAACACGTCTACTATTATGTATAGCTCCACTTGTGAGAAAACAGCCTAACAGCCTCAACACATAAAAGACTGCCACTTGCTCCACATAATCCAAAGGTACTCATCAGTCCATGCTTCAAGGCCAGCAGACCCAATCTTCACCCATCAAGGTGGGTGTGTCCAGGGGCATATTTACCACAAGGCAAACAAGGCATTTGCCTAGGGTGGCGTTTTTTTCAGGGGGGCAGCACTGCCACCCAAAGGAAGGGATGGGATTTAAATTTGCAGCATGGGGACCAGGTTGGAACTGAGAGAGGCTGTGGGATGCTTGATGGTGTATGCAGGTCCTGACTCTTGTTCCCAGGGATGTCCGGAGCTGTGAAGGTGAGTGTCTTCTCTCTCGCCGGGGTGGGGGTTGCCAGTGTATGGGGGGTGGTGGTAGTGGATGGCTCTCTCAAGTGGGGGATGGGGGGTGTTGTTGGTCAATGTTAGGCTCTTATCGTGGGGGAGGGGGGTGTTTGTCAGTGTCAGGGTCTCTCCAAGGGAGAGTTGATTTTTGTGTTGCCTAGGGCAGCATGAAACCTAAAAACACCACTGGGTGTGTCCCACAGGGCCTTCAGGAACTTGACTTGATCACTGACCTGGACCTGTAGTGCACCCTGCCAACAAGGTCACCTGGTAAACTGTACCCTGGAGATAACTACCCATGGCGTTACAGGTTGTCCCCACGGTCCGTGGTGCAGTAGGCTTAGCCATAGCCATAGCTTCTGATCTGGATGAAGCCCTTCTCTGAACCAGCAGAGGTGTTAGGAACAGGCCAGGAATTAGGGGAACTAAAGCCCAATGAAAGGAGATCTTCAGAAGAATTTAGCTAGGTACATCCATCACCTAAAACTGAGGCTTTTCTGAGGTGGGAGGAGTTATACCTAGGCGGCGATTCCTCTTTTTGTGACCAGTGTCCATTCACCTGAAGGTGGCAGCATAACCCAACCAGTTATGAATGTGAAGTCCTCTGTGTCCTGTGATGAGATAAAAAAAAGTCACTTTTGGGCTGACTGATGCTTTAAATCACCCGACACCTTCTCCACGCTCCACAGTGGCTTCATCAGGTCTCTCCTCCTCCCCCTCCCCTATCTCATCAGCCATCGCTACGCAATCAGGCCTATCATCTATATGGTAATATACAATCACATCTCAAATGAGTTATTTACTTTGATGCATAAATAAGTGAAGTTTGTTTTTGTTCAATCAGGAAGATGGTTGCGTTTATGTAATGATACATAAGTGGCGGCTGTGATGAGACACGGGAGGGGGATCTCCTGTTCATACCTTGTAACCCTCTGAGACATGGATTAGGGCCTCCAGATTTATAGTAATCTGCACCTCACAAACCACAATGTTCCCCCAACGTAACAAATCATTCCACCGCAGGTAAGTGACAGCAGCTTTGTTCAATGGCAGCAAGGCCCAGGTCCTATTCCTCAGATCTCCTGCAGATTCGTATTTAGTTACATAGTTAGTCTGGCTGAAAAAAGACAAAAGTCCATCCAGCTCAACCATTAAAAAAAAAAAAAGTTATAATCCTACACCCATAGTTGATCCAGAGGAAGGCAAAAAAACCAGCAAAGCACGATCCAATCTGCTCCTGCAAGGAAAAAAATTCCTTCCTGATCCCCCGAGAGGCAATCGGATATTCCCTGGATCAACTTTCCCTATAAATGTTATATCCAGTTATATTCTGTGTATCCAAGAAAGAATCCAGGACTTTCCTACAGCAATCCACTGAGCTGGCCACAACCAACTCTTGAGGGAGTCTATTCCACATTCTCACAGCTCTTACTGTGAAGAAACCTTTCCGTGTTTGGAGATTAAATTTATTTTCCTCCAGACGTAAAGAGCGCCCCCTGTTGCCACCAAAACAGCCCGGACCCATTGAGGAATGGACTCCACTAGACCTCTGAAGGTACGCCGTGGTATCTGGCACCAAGTCATCAGTAGCAGATCCTTTAAGTCCTGTAAGTTGGGAGGTGGGGCCTCCCATGCTCTTACTGTGAAGAAACCTTTCAGTGTTTGGAGATGACATTTCTTTTCCTCCAGACGTAAAGAGTCCCCCTGTTGCCACCAAATCAGCCCGGACCCATTGAGGAATGGGCTCCACTAGACCTCTGATCTCAGTTGATCCAGAGGAAGGCAAAAAAAACCCAGCAAAGCACGATCCAATTTGCTCCTGCAAGGAAAAAAAATTGCTGCCTGATCCCCCCGAGAGGCAATCGGATATTCCCTGGATCAACTTTCCCTATAAATGTTATATCCAGTTATATTCTGTGTATCCAAGAAAGAATCCAGGACTTTCCTACAGCAATCCACTGAGCTGGCCACAACCAACTCTTGAGGGAGTCTATTCCACATTCTCACAGCTCTTACTGTGAAGAAACCTTTCCATGCTTGGAGATTAAATTTCTTTTCCTGCAGACGTAAAGAGTCCCCCTGTTGCCACCAAAACAGCCCGGACCCATTGAGGAATGGACTCCACTAGACCTCTGAAGGTACGCCGTGGTATCTGGCACCAAGTCATCAGTAGCAGATCCTTTAAGTCCTGTAACTTGGTAGGTGGGGCCTTCATGTTCTTACTGTGAAGAAACCTTTCCGTGTTTGGAGATGACATTTCTTTTCCTCCAGACGTAAAGAGCGCCCCCTTTTCCTTCATCCAAATATTATGCACAAGTATTTATTAGATGTTGCCCATTATTTGGGGATCCTGCATTCCCTCACTAATATAAATTCTTCCGACAATCGATTACGCGTTTCACCCCAGACAGGGTCTTTCCCAAGACTTGCATGGCATGGGAATGATTTGCTGCTTGATGGGACTATTGTGTTTTAAATTCTTCAGAATATTAGATGCTGCCAGGTTTTCTATGGCTGCTGTGGATTTTTTCGTTAACCGCTTTCTGACCACATAATGGCGGCACAAAGAGTGTGCTTTAATGCCCAGCCCCCCACACTTACACATCCATGGTGGCGTGAGGTGGTGTGCTGATAGGGCTCCTTCACACTCGAATCATTTCCAACTCCTGCCAAGCGCCCCTGTAGCCTTTGAAAGGTGTTTGGGAAGCGTTTGTAATACTCCTCAAACGCCATATGCGCCTTTTTGAGGCGTTTGCCAAACGTTAAAACCGCAACACAAACGCCTATAATGACGTTTAATGGTATTAATGCTCCGCAAATGCCTGCCAGGTGTTTGAGGAGCGTCACCATAGACTTGAATGGGAGGCTTCAACTCCTCCTGACTAGACATGAGGCATTAATTTTGCCGCGACGCTAACGCTTCAGTGTGAACAGCACTGTGTGTAGAATTTTCATAGACATTTGAGGAGCATTAAAAATGCTTCCCAAACGCCTAACGCCTGCTAACAAAGCTAGTGTGAACTGTGCGCTCCCAGCATGCTGACCGAGCTGTCACCAACGACTCTCAATCATTGCTTGCAGAACAGACTCCTGGTCATGTGACCACTGTGGGAGCCAATCACAGCAGTCACATGATAGAGAAGCCACACCATCTCTTGGGGATTAAAAACCATGTAAAGGGTTAAAAAGCCTGTTTAACACGGGCTTCATCTTGTGTAAGATCAGTGTGAACAGCAGGCTTTAATGAAACTTTCAGCAAGCTTCAATCAGCTTTCCCTAAGCCGTTAAAGTGCCCTTCAGCTTCTGTTTGGAAATGTTATACACAGATCTTAATGGGAGTGCTGATGGTCACATTAAACAAGCTGCTAGCAGGCATTCAACAAGCTTCAAGTAGTGTTGATGCCTGCTAGCAGCTTGTTTAAAGTGGCAATCAGCACTCCCAATATGATCAGCATTTACATTCTGGAGCTGAAGGGTGCATTAAACGCTTGAAAGCGCCTTGCTGAAAGTTCTGCAAATGCTTTGTAACAGCTTTCTGTTCACACTGCTCTTATACAAGCTGTATATGGAAGAGGATAGAACAGGAAGGCGCTTCTAAGTGCAGAATATCCAGAAGAATCTTTAATAATGACGGTTAGAAACACAAACTTGTAGTTCAAACAGGCTCATTAGAATCATCAGAGTGCAGAGGCTCAATCCACCTTGTGAGAACCCGCTGTGCCGGCCAGCAGCTGCAGGGGCGAACTGACCATTTGGAAACTGGGGCACTGCCCGAGGGCCCGGGGTCAGTAGGGGGCCCCATGAGATGCCCCTGGTACCTTTTTCATAGGCTTTTTTGAGTTTGGGCAAGGGCACAGGGGCCCCATGATCCCCTATTGCCCGGGGGCCCCATGAGTTGTCAGTCTGCCCCTGAGGGGGAGTTGAGGAACAGTTGTCCAAGATGGCCGCTGCAAGTTCCGGGATCACTGGAATGCACGCTGGAGTGTACGCTGTCCAGGAGACCGCACCTGGAAGTGATGTGGGTTAGGATTGGGCGTGGAACGGTGACGCGTTTCGGAGCATGCGCAGAGCTCCTTCTTCAAGACTCGCATGGTGGGTTGAGCCTCTGCACTCTGACGATTCGATTGAGCCGTTTTTAACTACAAGTGTTTCTAACCGTCATCATTAAAGATTCTTCTGGATATTCTGCACTTAGAAGCGCCTTCTTGTTCTTTCCTCTTCCATATACAGAATGTGCTTCTACTCCTAGAAGTGCTGCCCGGTGCCTGTTGTCCAGTGTCTCCTCCATCACCAGCTGACATCTCTCGGTCCACAGCCTCCTCCATTGACGCATCCTCTACATATCCACTACTCCTCTTATACAAGCTGAATCCCGCATGAAACAGGCCGAAGAAAGGTTACAACGATTTATTGAGTTGCAGATGAATACAAATCATTGAAACACGCATATTCATTCAAGGGATTGAGTCTTCCTCAGGGGCGGTCTGACCATTCGAGCACTCGGGCACTGGGGGCCACATGAAATGCCCCTGGTACCTTTTATACGCTTTTTTGGGTGTCCTTTGAGTGTGGGCGAGGACACAGGGGCCCCATGATCTCTTATTGCCCGGGGGCCCCATAACTTGTCAGTCCACCCCTGGTCTTCCTCTCATCTTTTGTATGCCTACGTATCACAATGTATGTCTACATCATTCTAGACCGGACAAAGAACAATCTGGACTGAATAGTCCTCAACCGTCTAAATATAAACTATCAATGGAACCAGGAGGAAGGAAAGAGAGGGTGCTGGGGTGGTGAGAGGTACACAAGGTTTAGGGTATGAAAAAGGATGGGGCAAGGGCATTGGAACAGTACAAGAGGGGGTGCCTGAGGTCAAGTTAAGAGAGGACCCAAGAAAAAACAAGATGGTCATTTCTACAAAAAAAAAATCAGCACAGGAAGATTAATAATGATAGATTGTTAGGAAGTCCATCTGAAAGGTGGGATGCATGTGGGTTCAATCCACGGGGTCCATATTTTACAGAATTTGGACATGGTGTCGATTTGTAACACAGTGAGCGTCTCATATTCTCATAGAACATAACCTGAGGAACCAAAGGGTCTTGTAGGAGGACTTTCACACTCTGGATACTCTGGAACATGCATATTCATTCAAGGGATTGATTCTTCCTCTCGTCTTTTGTATGCCTACGTATCCCAATGTATGTCTACATCATTCTAGACCGGACAAAGAACACTCAAGACTGAATAGTCCTCAAACATCTAAATATAAGCTATCAATAGAACCAGGAGGAAGGAAAGGGAGGGTGCTGGGGTGGTGAGAGGTACACAAGGGTGAGGGTATGAAAAAGGATGGGACAAGGGTATTGGAACAGTACAAGAGGGGGTGCCTGAGGTCAAGTTAAGAGAGGACTCAAGAAAAAACAAGATGGTCATTTCTAAACAAAAGATCAGCACAGGAAGATTAATAATGGTAGATTGTTAGGGAGTCCATCTGAAAGGTGGGATGCATGTGGGTTCAATACATGGGGTCCATATTTTACAGAATTTGGACATGGTGTCGATTTGTAACACAGTGAGCGTCACTAAACAGGCTGAACTGCTGTAATACTGACACTCAGTGGCTGAATATCTCCTTGCCATGGGAACTCTGCCATACTGAAGTTTCTATCTGCCAAACCCAGCTCTGATGAAGGAGGGAGCACCCTTCGAAACGCGTTAGCCTTCATCCCCTCCCCTTTTCGATTTACCTGTAACCCTGTTTGGATTATGGTTACTTATGCCTGTTATACAATCATTTTGTGAGTATATTTCCTTATTAATAAAATGAGTCACTATTTATTGAGGTAATGCGCAAGGTTTGTGCGCTCTTTCTTTCATCTTCCTCTACAGTTTTATTAAGCTTCCCCAGCTTCATGATAGAGCTGCACAACCTCAGATCACCAGCGGATCAACACACAACACGCTGCTTGTCACTAATGCCTGTTTGATCTGAGTCCTTGAGCGCAGGAGATAATGGATCTTTGATGAAAAAGGATGGGGCAAGGGCATTGGAACAGTACAAGAGGGGGTGCCTGAGGTCAAGTTAAGAGAGGACTCAAGAAAAAACAAGATGGTCATTTCTAAACAAAAGATCAGCACAGGAAGATTAATAATGATAGATTGTTAGGAAGTCCATCTGAAGGTTGGGATGCATGTGGGTTCAATCCACGGGGTCCAGATTTGACTAAATTTGAACATGGAGAATGAGCATCTCATTCCCATAGAACATAACCTGAGGAACCAAAGGGTCTTGTAGGACTTTCACACTCTGGCCAACACCTGTTTAGGAGGATTTCAACAAATGATACATAATAGACCAGTGTTTCTCAACCTTTTTTCAGTCAAGGCACCCTTTAAAATTAGAGACAGACAGTCCTGAGGAACCCTTGAAAATTATGGACAGTCTCGAGGCCCCCTTTAAAATTAGAGACAGTCCTGAGGCACCCTTTAAAATTAGAGACAGTCCTGAGGCACCCTTTAAAATTAGGGACAGTCCTAAGGCACCCTTTAAAATTAGAGACAGTCCTGAGGCACCCTTTAAAATTAGAGACAGTCCTGAGGCACCCTTTAAAATTAGGGACAGTCCTGAGGCACCCTTTAAAATTAGGGACAGTCCTGAGGCACCCTTTAAAATTAGGGACAGTCCTGAGGCACCCTTTAAAATTAGGGACAGTCCTGAGGCACCCTTTAAAATTAGGGACAGTCCCGAGGCACCCTTTAAAATTAGGGACAGTCCCGAGGCACCCTTTAAAATTAGGGACAGTCCTGAGGCACCCTTTAAAATTATAAACAGTCCTGAGGCACCCTTTAAAATTATAAACAGTCCTGAGGCACCCTTTAAAATTATGGACAGTCCTGAGGCACCCTTTAAAATTATAAACAGTCCTGAGGCACCCTTTAAAATTATGGACAGTCCTGAGGCACCCTTTAAAATTATGGACAGGCTTGAGGCACCCTTTAAAATTATGGACAGCCCCGAGGCACCCTTTACAATTATGGACAGTCTTGAGGCACCCATTAAAATTATGGACAGTCCTGAGGCACCCTTTAAGATTATGGACAGTCCTGTGGCACCCCATTCTAAAATGTGAAAAACTATTCTAAAAGTTTTCTATAATGCAGTACATGTAGGACACCCAACATTAGAAGTGATTTGTTCTTCCAAAGCAAATACACCTTTGCACACCGGTACTGACTAGTATTCCAATGTTTCTTTTCTCCTCCAGGTTTTCTCCATCACTGAGCTAATGTGACCCCACCACTGATGGAGAGGGGCGGGGGAGGGTCAAACTAGGATGCTGTGCAGGCAGCTGACATCCTCCTTATCAACTGATGTCATTGGTTGTCAGGATGCCGGCGGCTAGAAGGTCATAATGGTGCACAATGATAACCTGTGGCTTTGTGTAACTAGAAATCAGGCTTGTTCCACCCGCTGGCTTGTATACAAGTTTTGGGCAATTTTTAGACATTTTGCCAAGGCACCCCTGAAGAAGCCTCAAGGCACCCCTGAAGAAGCCTCAAGGCACCCCTGAAGAAGCCTCAAGGCACCCCAGGGTACCTGTGCACCCTGGTTGAGAAAGGCTGTAATAGACTATGACTGGGAGGTGCTGCTCACTTGTTGGGGACTATATGACAAGACAGATCCTGGGTTGGTGCGCTCGTTCACCTGAGCTGTGCAATATATTGTATCATCTCCAGATTTACACCAGAAGTCTCAGTTTCGTCTCCAACATGATTCATGTAGAGTTTTTCTCTCTTTTAATACAGCCGTTTTATTCTATTTCATCTCTTTATTTTACATACGCCTTTGATAATAATATAGTAGAAAGTTGGATCTGTCATTGTTTATGGCTCTGGGCTGCGAAGGATATACATAGAATCTATTTTACGGAAACCTTTCATCCAAGAAGTTCTGGCAGCTAGAGGAACATCACATCAAATGTTATATCCGAGGATTGTACCTAGGAAAGGATTTCCTCCTACAGTCAGTGTGAGCAGCACAGACATTGACCCTCTTTATCTGTACAGCCAACGAAGGTGGCGCCATTTAAAGCTGAGCTCCTGTGATTCTAAAGGTTGTATTTAAAAACAAAAAAAAAAACATGTTATACTTACCTGCTCCGTGTAATGGTTTTCGACAGAGCAGCCCCAATCCTCTACTTTTTGGGTCTCCCCCCCCCCCCCAGCAGTCCTGGCTCCTCCCCCCTACCAAGTGCCTCCAAGCCTTTGCTATGGGGGCACTTGAGCAGGCTCGCTCCTGAGCCGCACTTCTGTGAATGGACATTGTCCATTCACACACAAAGCGTGGCCCACCACTCTCTCCTCATTGGCTCACTGGCTGTGATTGACAGCAGCAGGCACCAAAACCTAACCTGAAAAACCGCTTAAGATATGAAGGTCAAAGATGATTAGCAATATCCTCCATAATGAGCTTTCTGTAAAACTGCTTAGCCTCTTTGTGCTTCCAGCAACAGGTGTATTGAAAAACTATCATTCAGGATCTCATAGAGTGATTAGGTTTGATTAAAAATTGTAGATTCAAATAATAAAAAACGTGTGTACTATGTGTAACAGCAAGCTTCTTCTTGGCATGGGCGCCTAAGGCTTGCCACGTATTCCTATTGGGCCCACCCAACGTGTTTTGTCATTGAGACTTCATCAGGGGATGTACTAGTACACAGAGACTTCATCAGGCAATGTTCTAGTACACAGAGACTTCATCAGGGGATGTACTAGTACACAGACACTTCATCAGGGAATGTTCTAGTACACAGAGACTTCATCAGGGGATGTACTAGTACACAGAGACTTCATCAGGGTTTGTACTAGTACACAGAGACTTCATCAGGGGATGTACTAGTACACAATCAGGGAATGTTCTAGTACACAGAGACTTCATCAGGGGATGTACTAGTATACAGACACTTCATCAGGGGATGTACTAGTACACAGAGACTTCATCAGGGGATGTACTAGTACACAGAGACTTCATCAGGGGATGTACTAGTATACAGAGACTTCATCAGGGGATGTACTAGTACACAGAGACTTCATCAGGGTATGTACTAGTACACAGAGACTTCATCAGGGGATGTACTAGTATACAGAGACTTCATCAGGGGATGTACTAGTACACAGAGACTTCATCAGGGGATGTACTAGTACACAGAGACTTCATCAGGGGATGTACTAGTATACAGACACTTTATCAGGGGATGTACTAGTACACAGAGACTTTCTGGTATTGTTTGTGAATATAAGGGAAATACATACAGTATCTCCCATAAGTGAGTCCCCCCTCACATTTTTGTAAATATTTTATTCTATCTTTTCATGTGACAACACTGAAGAAATGACACTTTGCTACAATGTGACGTAGTCAGTGTACAGCTTGTATAACATGTAAATTTGCTGTCCCCTCAAAATAACTCAAACACACCGCCATTAATGTCTAAACCACTGGCAACAAAAGTGACTCCACCCCTAAGTGACAAGGTCCAAATTGGGCCCAATTAGCCATTTTCCCTCCCCGGTGTCATGTGACTCGTTGGTGTTACAAGGTCTCAGGTGTGAATGGGGAGCAGTTGGGTTACATTTGGTGTTATCGCTCCCATTCTCTCATACTGGTCACTGGAAGTTCAACATGGCACCTCATGGCAAAGAACTCTCTGAGGATCTGAAAAAAAAAGAATTGTGTCTCTACACAAAGATGTCCTAGGCTATAAGAAGATTGCTAAGACCCTGAAACTGAGCTGCAGCACGATGGCCAAGACCATACAGCGGTGTAACAGGACAGGTTCTACTCAGAACAGGCCTCACCATGGTCCACCAAAGGAAGTTGAGTGCACATGCTCAGCGTCATATCCAGAGGTTGTCTTTGGGAAATAGATGTAGGAGTGCTGCCAGCATTGCTGCAGAGGGCGAAGGGGTGGGGGGTCAGCCTGTCAGGGCTCATTTCTGTGAGATACTGTATATATATATATATAATTATTGCAAGGTTCTCTTTTTGTCATTTATTTTGTGTATGTGCAGGGTGTTTGGAGATATCGGGAGTGCCATATTATTTTAGGTGACATTCAAAATACCCGGGGCTTCACAAATGAAAGTAAATGAAAAACTCTGTACAAATGGCAATCTATTGGCTTTCCATTTTATCCGCCTGGATTGACAAAGGAAGATGTTGCCCTTCAGACACTATAAAACACACAAGAAAATAGTTGAAAGTCAGCCATGAAAAATAGAGATAGATTTTATTTTTTATACATCATATGGAATCATTTTTTCTCTGATACATAATAAAGCTCAGCTTTCAGCCCAACATCCTCTGGATCACAGTGATCTCACTTCCCGGATTTGTTCTCTGGCTCTCTGACCAGAGCAAGTAGTCGGTCCAGCTTGGCCACTTCCACCTCAGGACCTTTCTGGACTTCTTGTCCTTTCTTCTCCTGAAAACCAAGACACAGCCATCAGTGATATCCAACCAGGACACAAAAGGGTTAAAGAGAAAATAAAACCACGCTCTTTTCAATGACAGCAAATGACCACAATAACAAGAGTCACCATTTTGCATTCAAGTTACATTTTTTTCTAAAGTCCTTATCAAAGAACATCTTAATGTTTACAGCAATTTAAATTGACAATCACAATGTATTTTTATCTGTCTGACATCTGTGGATGTAATGCTATAATAGCGCAGCCATTTCCTTCTCCCGAAAAGTGGCATCCATAGAACATTTGACCTTATTCTCTCCTCTATTATATTTGTACTTTTCTTTCTTTCATTTCCCATTATGTGTTTTCCTTTTAGACTGAAGACCACCAAAGACCTCCAGTCGGTAAATTGTTATTCAGACCCAACCTTGTTGCACTCCTGGACACAGGTAGTTGGCACTTCCCTTAGGGTCATGTCATACTAGAAACACTATAGTAGATTTGTAGCAGCTATACATCTCTCTTCTGATTTATGGATGTGTACAGAGGAGCTGCTGTAACGGACTGCAATTCTTTTGTAGGCAGCTACAAATTTCTGTTGTGTTGTGGCTACCTGCAGCTGCATGAATCCTGCCCATTCAGACAAAACAACATTGGTGACATACAACTGGCCTTCCAATTCACCTCAAAGGTGTTCAATAGAGTTGAGGTCAGAGCTTTTTGCAGGCCACTCAACACCAAACATGTCAAACCATTTCTATATGGAGCTGGTTTTGTTCAGAACACTTGAGGTCCTTCACACCAAACTCATCAAACCATGTATTTATGGAGCTGGTTTTGTGCAGACCACTTGAGTTCCTTCACACCAAATGCATCAAACGATGTCTTTACGGAGCTGGCTTTGTGCAGACCACTTGAATTCCTCCACACCAAACTCATCAAACCATGTATTTATGGAGCTGGTTTTGTGCAGCCACTTGAGTTCCTCCACGGCAAACTCATCAAACTGTCTTTTTGGAGCTGGCTTTGAGCTGATCACTAGAGCTCCTTCAAACCAAACTTATCAAGCCATGTCTTTATGGAGCTGGCTTTGTGTATATCACTTGAGTTCCTTCAAACCAAAACCATCAAACTATGTATTTATGGAGCTGGCTTTGAGCTGATCGCTAGAGCTCCTTCAAACCAAACTTATCAGGCCATGTCTTTATGGAGCTGGCTTTGTGCAGACCATTTGAGTTCCTTCAAACCAAACTCATTGCACCATGTCTATATGGAGCTGGCTTTGTGTATACCACTTGCGTTCCTTCAAACCAAAACCATCAAACTATGTATTTATGGAGCTGGCTTTGAGCTGATCACTAGAGCTCCTTCAAACCAAACTCATCGCACCATGTCTTTATGGAGCTGGCTTTGTGTATACCATTTGAGTTCCTTCAAACCAAACCCATCAAACTATGTATTTATGGAGCTGGCTTTGTGCAAACTACCTTAGTTCCTTCACACCAAACTGGCCAAACCATTTCTTTATGAAGCT